GGGGTGCTCAAATTCACTGCATTCACTGCCCATCTATCCCTTTTATAACACCCCTAAATTTGCTCCATGTCTTTCCAGTCTAGACACTCTGATAAGCTTCCAGTCATGTCTGCAAACTGGTGATGATGATTTAGTGTAAAATAATCCCTTTTAAGAATGTAGGAATGTGTAAATGGGAACAGTATGGTGATGATGGGATTAAGTGCCTGATTAAAAGACATTTGATCTTTGTGGTTTAAAAAGCATTATGTATTTAAACCTGATCTTCATAAACTGGTTTTAGTTGTAGTTGCAAACACCTTTCCATAGAGAAGAATAACGAGATAAATTAAAAACGTTCAAGCTTCTTAAGATGCAAAAACAGTCTACAATATGCGAAAGGCACACATAGAGTATCATGCGAAACATCTCCAAACATCAGAAATTTACAATAAGCAATTTAAAAAAAACACATTCTGCAATAAAGCAGAACCTTTTTCTCTAAAGTAAGTTTAAAGCAGAATAAACTTCACTGCAAACTCCAAAAATACCAAAGCAGAGGAGCATCCTCTGGTCCTCTGAAACAGGATGCGTCCCTTCACTCCACTCACCGCTTCTGTCGTGCGCCGCGCTGCCCGCTCCTCTCCCGCCGGTTCGTGGACGGTTCAAGGAGACGTTGGTTTGGACCTCCGGCACCGGGGGGCTCACGTGAGAGAACAGGAGCTCCGTCGCGTCGTTCTTGAAGGCTTGGCAACTCCTCAGCAGGATGCAAAACAAGAAGAGGGAATGGCGAGACTCGTGCGCGCTGAGATGCATGGCTGCGTTTGGGGACAGAGAGAGTGTAACGTTGGAAACGAGAAGCAGTCGCCTCTTATAAGCGAACCGACGCTGGGGGACACATGTGAGGGCAGTGGGTTTTATATAGCCCGCCCGCCTCTCGCTTTGGCAGCTTCTCAGGTGCGTTTCATCGAGAAGTTTTGATTGGTCGCCAAAAGTATACCCCAGTAAGACAACCCCGCCCAGTTTTTTATTTTTATTTTGGAGAGCTAAACAGTATACTAGATGCAGAAAGGGTGATGAGCATGATGGGATTATGTGAGCAGTTGGCACATCAACAGGTTTTACTGGTTCACTTAAAACATTCAGATGCAGTTTGGGCTAAATTAACAAACAGCAGTAAACAGAAATATAATGCTCCCAAGTTTCCACAGCTCTGACCTTTATCGGCATTAAAACTAATTTCTGACTCAGCCAAATAAGAACAGCAATTACAGGCACGGTGTGGATAAAACTATCTTTGGGATTTCATTAAAGAAATTCCATCATGATTCAGAATAATTCTTCATAATCTCATTTGTCATACCAGAATCAAGTGAATGGAAACAAGATTACAAGTTTGCATATATTCTCTGGAGACGGCGTACCAAAATCAAATATCAGAGAGCTTAACCTTTAATTTAATCCGCTACAGGAGGGCAGAAAAGCCAAGAAATGCTGATTAGATTGGAAGTCCATTTCAGCTTTTTGTCTGAATTTGAGTTGGCTGAATGCAATAGTTTAGCTATACATCTTAAATACAGAGAATAAGTCAAAACAGATAAATCATATAAAACTTTTCCATTCTCGAGAAAAGGCAGCTGAGTAGTCTTTTTTTTTTAATATTAGAGATCAGGAATGGTTCTGACTTCCAAAACGTTCTTAAATCAGATTTGTTCCTCTGCTTAAGAAAAAAAAATATGGGCTCTAATGTGTGCCAGTGTTTTGAAGTAATAGTTTCACTGAGGTGTCATACAATAAGACTGGCTGCTACTGGGTTCCCATAATAAACAGATTAGCTTTTAGTGACTCCTGCTGTTGATATTATAAAAAAGCAAAGCTGGTTTGTATCAGTGTATCCTTTAAGTGCCATGAAGGGGCATAAGATGCTTAAAAAGGTCTATGGGCCACTTTAAGTCCAAAGAGGAGGACAAAGTATCGATTTAAATAAACATTTTTGACCAATCAAAGTCAATTATTTGCTGCTTATTCGCACAGTTATAGTTTCTAAATCAGTGGTTGCATTTTTTTTCCAGATTACTTCAACTCTGAACATCATGACTGATTTCTGTTTGCTCTAATTAAATATTATTTACTAGATAATAATTTCTCAGCAACACAAATATTCAAGTATTCCAGACCTGCACTGGATATACAACATAACAGAGCAGTGAAAACCCAAATTGGTTAAATGCGCTTAAGTGTGAGCATCATTACATAAGTTCTAAAACACATATAAATAGTGTACTGTTAGTAATTGCTTATGTTGGCTGAAATGCATCCTGGAAAGCAATCAGCAGCAATGGTCCTTGTTGGGTGAAAGTCTTATACCTTAAATTCTGAGGCTTTTTTTTTTTTTTATGTCAGCTGAAAAAGATGTAGAAATAATTCATGAAACTCTTAATGCACCTGTACAGCTTATATGGTGCTTCCTGGGGTCATTGGTTGTTCCAGATCTTTTATCATCAGACAGTGTTTGGGAAGCTTCATGGCTCCCCAGAACCAACCAAAACCTCTGCCACCACACTGCCCAGTTTAACAGCCCCTGCCTGCTGGCCCCTGTGGATGGCTGGCTCATTAACAACAATCCTCCTCATGAAAAAATGAGCACCATGTCTGACCTTGGAGTTGTTTTACCAACTTTGACTGTAATTGCTTCTCCAGGTCAACTTTCAGCTCCCAATATGGTGCCATTACTGCGGTCATGGCAGCTGATATTGGCTTTCCCAAGCTCTTTGAAAAGTGGTGGATTTCTTCAGTGCAGAGCCTCTTCCCAATGTAAGTGATATCTGCTAAAGCCATCGGGACTTCACTTCAGGCCAAACCTGCTGATTCTTACCAAGTACAATAAAGTACCTTACACGAAGTGGTCTGAATAAGGATGGAAGAAGAGAAAAAGCAACAGTTTTGATAGTAGCTATGGGAGGTTCAGGAACATCTGTGTTTTCAACACAGACACATAAGTGGTGGATTCCAGTTGATTCCAATTGCGCCAGCAGGGCGCAGCTCATCTAGTCATGAAAAGACTCTTGGGTTCATGGGAAGATGGCCTGTGATTTCCTCAAATTTGCTAATTACTCCTAAATGTGATGATTACAAGTGAACACAATAGCAATGTAAATATTAGCTTATAAACATCATTACTGATTTGACAAATTAATAATATGACCTGATCACATGGTACTACAGTGAAAGTTTTAGGCTCATCCTGGGAAGAACATAAATGTTTGTGCTAAATCTGTTCGCCTCTGCATATTAAATGGGGGTTGCAGGAAAGCTGGAGCCTATCCCAGCTGTCATAGGGCAAGTTGCACGGTACTGCCTGTCCGTCAGACTTAGACTTTAAAGTTCTGATGCTG